TTCGAGCCGAGCAGAATTAATATCATCCGCTGACCCGAATATCGAGAAGGTCCGTTTCCAACCGACACAATAATTTCCGATAAAGTATACATCAATCGAAGCCGTCAAATGTCATGATCGGGCCCCACGGTGTCATCTCACATTAAATATTAATGTTCCCTATTTACCTATTTTTTAATAGGCCCACTTGGCCCACTTGTAAGCCCACTTGTAGGAAAAGGGGGATGTATATATATAGGGAAAGAGGAGGATTGATGGATGATGGATTCATCTTCTTTCTCATTCATCTTCTTAAAACAGCAATAATACAAAAAAGCTTTTGAATTTTCCATCTTCAATATACATATAATCGATCGACCACCGATTATTCACGGAATAGGGGTGTTCATTTTAGTTGATCAAATCCGTTTATCAACAATAATATAAACGGATCAGCATGCTAATATATTGTGAAAATAAAGTTTTAAAAAAAAATTCTAAAGTACGGAAACCCCGTGCATCGCACGGGATTCTCACTAGTGAAATGAATAGTACTACCACCTATTCTTTTTAAATGTCATTTTGGTTTTATCAACTATTAACTAAAATAAATATCGTTTTGGATCTTTTGTACATATTTTTCTATTATTACTCTCATTTAGTTAATAAATACACCACGTCTTTTCATATTCTCTTCATCTTTTTTTTAAAACATTCATCTCTATCTTCATTAATGAGGGTTATTATTGGCAAAAAAATTATTCTTAATTAGTGTGCAACTTCCCAAAACGACACTTATTATGAATAGGAGAGAGTATTATTTAGTCAATAATGGACGCTATGTTTCCACTTATATTCTTTTTTGTAGCCTTATCTGCCACTAAATTTTTTTTTTATTTTTTATTTTTTTGTAACCTTATCTAGCTATAAAAACCGTTTCCCACTTCTTTTTTCTAATTAATTTTTTATTAGTTCAGTGTCTGCCAGTTTTTTTTATTTAACACGCCATTGTTTCAGTTTTTATTTTTTTTAGTCATCATTTTCTTCTTCCTCCTTGTGTTTCTTCTTCCCGTACTTATTTTTTTGTTTCTTACTTCTCTTCAAAAAGTTTTCCAAAATTTTTTTCTCTCAGATATTATTTTGTTGTTACATCAAATGCTTTTTTAATACTTCGTATTCATCCGATTTTTTGAATGACTATAATTTATATGTATGCATTTTATTTTATTATTCTCATTGTGGTTGTTAATTTAATTTAACAATTTTTTCATACTTTTATTTAATTTAATTGTTAAGTGTATATATATAGCATATTATTTTTTATTTTTTTAGGTAATAAGAAGAAGAAGAAGGAAAGAAGAGAGAAGAAAAAGTGGAACGAGATGTAAGAGTGAGAAGAAAGAGAGAGAAAGAAAAAAGAGGAAGATAGAGAAAGGAAGAGAGAGAGAGAGAAAAATATAAGAGCAGTTGAATTTTTAAATATTGTAACTTCCTACTCAAGCATACTAGTTTTTAACCCGTGCATTTGCACGGAGAAATCAATATAATATAATAAAAAATAATACAAAGATATAAACAATAGTAAAAATCATAATATAATCATTGGAAAAATGTTCTAAGAAAGAATAACTAAATATTGTTATAAAATTCTTTATATACAATGTTTGTGATTTTTCTATCAACAGAATCTCCATCACTACAAATCACTATCTTCAAATTAAGACATATAATGGTTTTATTTTTTTAAATAATTATTGTATTTTGTACTATAGATCATATAGGAATTTTTTTTAAAAAAAAAATACTAAAAAAATACCAGCAAAATATTACAAAATAAATAATTGTATTTGGTTGATATATAATGATATGTGCCAAATATTTAAGACATTTGAACAAAATGACAATTTTTGGGCTATAAAGAAATATATTGATTGAATGATAAAAATAGCCCAAATTAGAAGTCCACTTAATTTTTTAGGGTAGCCAAAATCAAATATAAAACAGGTCAATGATAACATGACTATAAATAGAGATAAACTTCTTGAGAGTGATGTAAGCCATTTTTTTGTTTGATGTCGGCGCTTCTCTCGTTATTCACTCTGTCTGAAACCCTAATCCTTAACTCGATCTTACGACAAACTCGACGAGATTCAATACAAAATAAATGTTTTACCGGAGATTTTCTCCCGGAAAAGGCTTAAAAAATTTAAAAAAACATCCGAGAAATGTTGTTTTTGTGGCCAACAGTAGTGATCGAGAAATAAATATTCGTCCTGATTTCTTACTCTATGTTGCTAAATCTTAACAGGTCGGTCAAAATAGGGCGATAATATTACAACTCTATGAAGAGCTGAAATATTTTTTGTTAAACGTAGTTTTTATTTTTTATTATTTTCAACGATCTGTGTCGTTTTTCGAAATTCTTTGTGAATAAGCTTCAAAGATATATCATATTTTTCGAAATCGTTTTTCGAATAGAACATGACATTGGTCGAACTTTTTCAAACTCTTATGTATTTTGTCAGGGTTTGAAAAAATAGGTAAGTTTCTAACAGATCTGTTAAGCTCTACTACAAATATATATGTAAGTTTATAACATATCTGTTCATATCTGTTTATAACATACATATGTAACTTTTATGTACTTTGTTCAGATTTTGAACACTAAATAGTTCAATTCTTTCTCGTCTTTCTCATCATATTAGTACGTGAAACTTTGCTAACACTTGTTCAAAATCGCTTTTCGAAGTTGTTCAAAGTCTTTTGCCGAAGTTTTTCAAAGTTTTTAGTATTTAGTTCAAATTTGGAACTATTACGTAAGTTTATAACAAATCTGTTTAGATATATTTATCGCATATTAGGAATTTCTTGTTTAATGTTTAAAAGAATTTGTAGGAATTTTTATTTTTAAAAATTTTACGCAAAAATTCGATTTTAATATAAAGACAGATGTCTTGGTAAAAGTTGAATGTGTTGATAATGATAGGAAAATCAAATTATTTTTCTTTCTATATTGTATAGTGTCCAATAATGTTCCACATAATTTGCTGTGTTTTTAATTTTGATTTTTTCATATAGATTTGACTTTTTTTTGTTGATTATTAATTATGCTTGATATTTCTATATTATGAAACAATCTGTCATTATACAATGCCTTGTAAATACTCATTCTTCGACTTTGCCAATTTTCGTTTAATATGACTTTTCTGTTGCTGAAAGTATGGTTTTTAATGCATTAAAATATTGATGTTTTGGATATGTTTTGATGCTATAATCATGCAGAAATTTGTTCCGCCACTTTTTTCTTAAAGAGGAATTGTTTAATGAAAATTAATCATATTTATATTTATAATTGTGAAATAATATTTTTCACGGCCAACAGTTTTTTTTTTTTTTAAATGAAAAATATGAGACAATTTATTCAGCACACTTTTTAATTTATAAAAAAAATATTGATTGCGATAATCAAATCTACAGAAATCATGCATTTTATTGAATAGTAGTAATATAAAATATTTTATTATTAATACCAAATGGAAAGTCAAATATAGTTAATTTTGCATTATTAATTATGATCATATGAATTTTTTTTATACATATGTTTTTTCAATGAACTTTTTAAATGATAATATTGACAATATAGACTTTGCTATAATTATTATATAGACTGTGCTATAATAATAATTTATTTATTTTAATTCATTATTTTTTTTAATTCATCTTATTATGCGTATAGTCTAAGTTTATAAATTATATGTCATTTAAATGTATCTATACTACTAATTTATAAGATTTTACTATTTGAGGGAGCTAAATTTTTAATTTTAATTATGAAACTAATATTTCTTATCATTTTGCAGCTATATGTTTGATGGAGTATGGCTGGAAATTAAATTACAAAAAAATAATTTCATATTTTGTATTGTAATGTAACATGATCTGTATTATAATGTTTGTAATTTAATTCATTTACTAATATTTTTTATAACTTTAATTGCTTATTCAATTCATAATGGAATAAAAAAATAATAATATATAGTTTCTGCACAACAATAATGACTATCACGTTTATATATATAAATGAGAATAAGAAACATAAATGTGGGATTAGTGAGTAATTAATTAAAAAATATGGAACTCCTTTTATAGGGAAAGTGAAAATATTTTTATTAAATATTTTATTAAATGGGATTAACTAGTAATTATATTTATATAGATTTGGAATTGTGTATATTCAGTCAATTATATGGAATTGTTTTTTTATGAAGAGTTTAGTTATGTACATTCCCCGTTGCTGCTTCGGGTACTAATGAATAACAATTAGCAATTAATTTATGCACAATAACTAATGGCTTTGTATTACATTCCCTTCCATTTTCTTATACGCAAACACTTTCCGATCTCCATTGTTTTCCGAGCCCAAAAATTGCTACTTCCTCTTCCATCACACTTCTACTTTCAAGTGGCGCATTATGATTTATACAGAAACAAACAGACTTAAAAAGTAAACAACATATAAGTTTCTTCATTGTCAACGTATGTTTTTTCCTTCCGCAGTACAACGTTTCCTTTTTATCATTAATTTCATGACTCAAACTCTTAAGCTCAGCTCTTTCAAATTGGTAGAGTTGCTTACTTGCTTTTAGACCCCAACTAACCATTAGTACAGCCCAATATGTTGCATACATTCATTGCTACTTATTAATTAGCTGAAATGAAAAACTATTCAATGTAGTCATTTTGAACTCCAATAACTTCATCAAGCAAGATCAAGATTGCTTGCTAATCAGATTACAAATTTGTACGACATTCTCCCCCCAAAAATGCCAAAGCTTATATGAAACACACTAATATACAACAAAATAAAGAAAAAAAAAAAAA